TTTTTTCAAAAAATTTTATTTCATTATTGATGCACAAATATCCGATAAATACAGAAGACTAGCAAAGCCACGAAAAAAAAAAAAAAAAACCTCGGGGCCGTGGAATGCTTATTGGATCTGGGATAACACTACACATCCATAATATTAATCAACCTTGAAACCGATGTCTTAGAGGCCAAAGGCACACTACTAGTGTCTTGAAAAGGCAGCAACTTTTGCTCATGATTAATGGACATAAATAATACACCTTAGACCATAAGCACTTCATTCTGAAAAACAGAATGAGCACCAAAAACGCTTAAAACCGAAGAAGCACGTTTAAATCGGTCTCAAGGACTGGATTAACAAGTCTTAGGAAGCAGCGCAAAACTACTATCAAGGGTCAAACTTAGTCAGCCTTGAAGTCACTGAAAAATTTGCAGGTACATTATAAATTCACAAAAAATATGAGAAAAAGTAGAAGCAAACCTTCATTTGCGGCACGCTTTCACCAGTAAGCATGGATTCATCTACGATGCATGGTCCTCTCAACAATAATAAATCACAAGGTACCGCTTTCTCATCCGGTGAGCGGCCTAAAAATACACTTGTTTCCCTCCTGCTGGCCATAACGTCCTTTCCTACCGGAATTTACCCCTACAAGGTAACTCAGCACCTCAGAGCACTTTTCCCGCGGAGGCTAACATGATTATATACTGATATCATTGAAACATGCTCACGCGGCTGAATCAATGGCGCATCCAACTCCAGACCAAAACCGGAGAAGGCACCTGAAAATGAAGCCAACCTTGTTCCCGTCCTACTAAAAATCGCGCCCCTTTTCAGTTTACCTGAATACAGCAATTTTTTGACATGTTTTCGCTAAATTTGTTTTTGCTGATGCGACCTGTTACTTCTTTTTCCAGACGTAAATCAGTACGTCCAAGATTAGAATGCTCCCTTCCTGACTAAATTTTGCACTCAGTCACCTAGGTTTTCGTACGTTTTTTTCTTGATTCCCAGTTGATCTTACCGCATGGCGCAACGTAAACTCTTCTCCTCGTCCGTGACCTTTTAAGGATACCAAAGCATCAAATCATTTTATTATACACACCCAGTGTTTGGAGGATGTACGATTTATTACGATTTTCATTGGTCCCTTTATAAGCAAGACACACACACAGTACATTTTCGAAACACACTTCCTGTGGCACATCTAATATTCCGGCGTGTTTCACCAAAGCTATGCTTCTTTCCTTCCGTTTTAAGGCATCACACTTGGTCCTTAAAATACTCACTGGCTACTTCCACGAGATTTGTAGATGAACACCTCCACCATTTATGTGGCGCATACCCGATGAATTTCCTTCCACACATGCTACAGCCGACGTTATAATTAATACTACATCGTAGTTAACTCCCTACGAGTTATAGGGCACTCAGGAGGCCAAACTACAGCAGTATGCAAACAGTAGAAACTCGTTGGTAAAGCAAGTCTATGGTCCTCTCTACTGCTTCAAATGCACAGTAAACCCAGTTTGGTTCAGTGCGGAATTGGGAGCAACAGCACTATTTTATTATCGAAATGAATCGCGAATATTAAGGGGAAGAGATTTTTAATTAGCGGATT